GGTCCAAGATTATCTTCTGTGTCTGTGTTAATTGGTTTCCCTTTTCTTTGTTGAAGAGGGTCTGTGCAATCCTTCTGCCTAGTCCGCCATCTTGCCCTGCCTTGACCCTTTATTCTTTCAAACAAATTTTAGAACCAACCACCAACCACCAATGCCAACGATGAAGAAATTGAAGATTTTTACAAACTTCTCCAGTTTGATGGATGATACACTCAATCAAGATGCACTGATAATTACTGGTAATTGGAATGCAATTTGCAAACAAAGAAGGATCAGTACTTGGAAAATACGCACTTGGGACAAGAAAGGACACTGGAGATCACATGATGGAATTGTACAAGACCAATGGCTAATTTATGGTCATCTTTTTTCAACAACATAAACAGCAATTATACATATGGACCTCATTGGATAGAATTGACTATATATGTGGAAAGAAACTATGACAAAGCTCAATATCATCGGTCAGAGCAAGGCCAAGGGTCAACTACAGAACAGTCCATCAATTGCTCATATGCAAGTTCAAGTTGAAGCTGAGGAAAATTAAAACAAGTCCTCAAAAGCCAAACTATGACATTGAGTATATCCCACCTGAATCCAAAGATCATCAAGAATAGATTTAATGCCTGAATTCTAATGACAGAAGACCAGATGAATTATGGGATGATATCAATTATACTATACATGAAGAAAGCAAAAGGTCATCAAAAAGACAGGAAAGAAATAAAAGACCAAAATGGATGTCAGAAGAGATTCTGAAACTTGCTCTAAACATAGATCAGCTAAAGGGAAAGGAAAAATGATGAAATAAAAGAACTGAACTGAATATTTCAAAGGGCAGCTCAAGAAGACAAAGTATTATAAAGAAATGTGCACAGACATAGAGTTAGAAAACCAAAAGCAAAGAACACAGTTGGCATTTATTAAGCTGAAAGAACTAAAGAAAAAAGTCAAGTCTTGAGTTGCAATAGTGAAAGATTCTATGGCCAAAATATCAAGTGATGCAGGAAGCATCAAAAGATGGAAGGAATACACAGTGTCATGGTACCAAAAAGAATCGATCAACGTTCAATCATTTCAAGAACCAATTGTGTTGAAGGAAGGAGTCTAAGCTGCAACGAAGGCTGGCAAAAAATAAGGCTCCAGGAATTGATGCAATACCAACTTAAATGTTTCAACAACAGATATAGCGCTTAAGGTGCTCACTCACTTGTACCAAGAAATTTGGAGGATAGCTACCTGGCCAACCTTGTGGAAGAAATCCATATTTGTACCCATTCCAAAGAAAGATAATCCAGCAGAATGTGAAAATTATCAAACAAATACCATTAATATCATATGGAAGTAAAATTTTGCTGAAGATAATTCAAAAGTGGTTGTTAACAGTCTACTGACAAGGAATTGCCAGAAATTCAAGCTGGATTTAGAAGAGGGCATGGAATGGGGAATATCATGGCTAGTATCAGATGGATACTGGCTGAAAGAAGAGTAGCAGAAAGATGTATCTTTGTGTTTTATCCACTATGCAAAGGCATTCACCTGTGTGGATCATAACAAATTATGGGTAACATTGTGCAGAATTGGAATTCCAGAACACTGAATTGTGCTCATGTGGGACCTGCACACAGACCAAGAGACAGTCCTTCAAACAGAACAAAGGAACACTGTGTGGTTTACAATCAGGAAGGGTGTGTGTCAGGGTTGTATCCTTTCACCATAACTATATGCTGAGCAAATAATCTGAGAAACTGGACTGTATGAAGAAAAATGTGGCACCAGGATTAGAGGAAGACTCATTAACCACCTGTGATACGCAGATGACAGACACAACCTTGCTCACTGAAAGCATAGAGGACTTGAAGTACTTACTGATGAAGATCAAAGACTATAGCTTTCAGTACAGATTATACCCCAACATACAAACCAAAGACCAAACCAAACAAACTGCCATCAAGTCAATTCCAACTAGAAAACAATAATCCTCTCAACTGGATCAAAAAACAACATGAAGATCAATGGAGAAAAGATTGAAGTTTCCAAGATTTCATTTTACTTGGATCCACAATCAATACCCATGGAAGTACCAATGGAGGATTCAAATGATGGTGATATTGCTAAGAAGAATAAACTAAACACCTTTGTGACCAAAAAAAATAAGGAAAGGAAATAAAAATTCAAATGACATATTGCATTGGGCAAATCTGCCGCAAAAGATCTTAATGTGTTAAAAAGCCAAGATGTCATTTTGAGGATTAAGGTGCACCAGACCCAAGCCATGATACTTCCAATCACCTCATATGCATGTGAAAGCTAGATAACGAACAAGAAGACAGAAGAAGAACTGATACTTTTGAATTATGGTGTTGATGAAGAATACTGAATATTCCATGGACTGTCAGAGGAATAAGCAGCTCTGGTGGCAAAGGAGAGAAGGCATTTGCCTGCTAATCAGAAGGTTAGTGGTTCAGACCCACCAGCCACTCCACAAAAGAAAATGGGGCAATCATCTTCCATAAAGATTCACAGCCTCAGAAATCCAATGGGGATCGCTATGAGTTAGAACCGACTGATGGCAGTGTCTGTCTTGGAACAAGTACAGCTGGAATGTTCCTTGGAAGCAAAGATGGTGAGACTTCACCTCATGTACTTTGGTCATGTTATTAGAAGGGACCAGTCCCTAGAGAAGGACATAATGCTTCATAGAGGGTCAGAGAAAAAGTAGGAAGATTCTAAATGAGATGGATTGACATAATGGTTGTAACAACGGATTCAAACAGGAACAATTGTTAGGATGGTGCAGGACCAGAGAGTGTTTCCTTCTGTTGCACACAAGACAGATATTAGTCAGAACTAACTTGATCCTTTATTTTTCTCAAATAAATTTTAAAATTAGTTTGTCAGATTACAAGGAAAGCCCTCCTCGGGAGAATTAAAATCTTTAGAATATCAAGCCTTCTCATCCAAAACTCAGTATGTTTTGACATTCAGTTCTGTCTGCAAATTTATACATTTCTCCATGAGATTATACTTATTAAATTTCAATATCTTTTTTAAATTATGTATTTTCTTAAAATTGTCTTTTCATCTAATTTACTGTACCTTATTACATGAATTTCATCAAAATCATTTACTAAAGGTATAAAATCTCAGATTTAGTTAATAAAAGATAATAATAACACTGTAAGACACTCATTTGCAAAAAATGCTTTACGGATTTATCATGTCTCTTACTTACATCACATATACTCACCAAAAGGCTCCATGGTCTCTACTTTCAGTGTCTGTGAAATTAGAGTCCAAAAACATATCTTTGTAGATTCGACCCACTAGACAATACATATCTGAAGCAACTTGCCCTTCACTTTGCACCAGGGGAATCATAATATCAAGAGCTTTTGCTCTATCTCCAGGGAGATTTCTCCTAAGATAGGGGATAAAAATATCCTTGTTTCAACATAAATTATAGAAGCAATGGGCCAATTATCTTTTTTAAATTTTATTTAATATATTAATCCACATTAGTGAAGTTTGGCAAGATAAAACAACAACCAGATTTTGAAAATCTTCTGTAAACCTCTGTTCTAAGGCTTCTTTTTAATTGGTCCTATTGCATGCCTCCTGAGTGTAACAAAGATCTCTTTTGAGTTGCTCTTCTAAAACCAGTGCTGGTGGTGACAGAAATCTCCCAATTTCTCTTGTAGCCTATACACAAGTGGAGGAAAATTAGGGGTACAATGTCCAAATATGGACAAAAACCTGACCTTAGATTTCTACACTTTCACTCCAAAGCAGTGAGCAATTGACAAACAATACTAACAAACCAAGTTTAACCCAAGAGTTGCTGAATTTCCAAATGTAACCAATCGATTATCTAAGAAAGCTGCTTTTTGTAGGCAATTTTTAAATAGCAAGTATGTGTAGGCAGTTCTCTAAAGCATATAAAAATGTTCTTGAGTTATTTTTTGAACCATGAAAAACATTATGCTACGTGAATGAAGCTAGTCCCAAAAGACCACATATAGTATGATTCCATTTATAGAAAATATTTGGAAAAAGCACACCTATAGAGACACCAAGTAGGTTATCAGTTGCCTAAGGCTGGAGTGGTTAGGGGGAAACTGGCGGGGGACTGCTAAAGGATATGGGGTTTCTTTTTTTGGGGGTGATAAAATGTTTTAATATTGATTGTATTAATGATTACACGATTCTGCAAATATACTACAAACCACTGAATGGCTTACTTTAAATGAGTTAACTGTATGGTATTTAAATATGTTCTTGGTATTATGTGCCATCGAGTCGGTCCTGACTCATAATGAACCCTCCTGGGGTTTCCGAGGCAGTATCACTACGGAAGTAGATTGCCCAACCTTCCTTCCGAGGAGTGGCTGGTAGGTTTGAAGTGCCAGCCTTCTGGTTAGCAACATTATATAAAGGAAGTGAGTTATATTTTCAACTACTATTTTATGTTTTTCTGTTCATGAAATTCCTTTCACACTTTGTACTAAATGCCTTGAGTTTAGAATTATGCTTCTTATACATCATATTTTGAGAAAGGCTTTTACAGACTTTCACCTTTTATATAAAAATGTATTATCTTATTTCACCTTTCTGAAATGACTTATTTGAAAATTATCTGGCGCAAGTAATCTCCAGATGACTCATCTAAGTCTACTAAATCTAAAGAAAAAAGATGCTTAACCAGTAGTAAGATAAAATATTTTTGTTATACATTTAGAAATAAACATTAGCAAGTTCTACAGTTTAGGTGGACAAAGAAGAAACAAGCTCTGGCTGAGCAGCGTGCTGACTGTATTCAAGAGGGAGTGATGAATTCCAGAGCCCAGCAATGAAGGGCACAGACTTCTGTATCATGTGGATCTGGGTTTGAGACACGTTAATCTGGGTTTGTGACATGTTAACTATGAGCCTTGAGAACACTTACTCACCCTTGCCAAATTTCAGTTTCTTCATCTGTAAAATAAGAATCCATCAAGTCTTACCTGACACATGGTAATGTCCCATGATGTCCCTTCTCTTTTCTTTTTTTAAATCATTCTCTCCAGTTGTGGTAATTACATACATAGTCAACTCTCCACCACAGAAGAGAACAGCAGCACAACTAACTGGGCTTTGGACAATTCACTGACCTAAGTCCTTCCCATGGCCAAAATATGGACAGCTGACCATGGTGACTGTAGGCAGGAAGGGGCCCTGAGACGCCCCACGATGCATAGAGATGGCTCAGAGGCAGGGAGGAAGCAGGCAGTGCCACTCTGTCCTAGCAGATTCATGGGCTCACCATCTAAAACGTGTCCAACCGAGTTTTGAATGTAATGATGTGTATGTACAGCACTCCTAGGGAAAATATTCTCTACTTCAGTGAACTTTTGTGTGAATGATCATTTGGTGTTAAGTTTGCATAATTCCACAATCCTATGATTTTAAAAGTACTAACATATATAAATGGCCAGTATAAGGTTTGACAGAGGAGAAAAAGAATTTTAGAATTTAAATACAAAAAGTGAAGAGATTTTTTGTTCTTGACAAAAAATCAGAAATCAACATGCATGCTTCCTGTATTTTGAATGGTCTGAATAGCTATGTTAACATTACTTTGTAATAAGGAGTGGTTGCAATGCTTCAGTAAAAACCCTATAAAGAAGCTGCAGTTAAAGAAAATGTTAGCGCATCACAGAGGGAACATTTTCTTCTTACCTGTTCAGTGCAAATGCATTATGAAACTTCACGTGGTGATGGGAGGCCAAATCAAAGGTCGGCAGTTTCTCTAATGTCTCTACCAGCTTCACAATAGAATCATAATCCTTTCAAACAAAGGGGACATTATATAGAATTAAACCTTAGGCAAATGTTCTGACAATGAAATGTCTTTTGACAATCAGATATTTACCAAATGTGAGAAGCGAATTGAAAAGAAAAATAAGAATCCATGGAACACCCCAGCATGCAGAACTGTTTGGTTTTTTTTTCCATTATAAAGGCGCTGGGATCTATGTGTGTGTGTGTATGTGTTTATATACGTATGTATATATGTATGTATCTGGGGCAGTGGTGGTTCAATGACAGAATTCCTGCCTTCTGTGTGGGAGACCTACTTCCATCCCCAGCAAATACACCCCATGGGCAGCCATCACACATCTCTCAGTGTTTGCTTGTGTGTTACCACAATGCTGAAAAGGTCTCAGGGAAGCAAACAAACTAAGATGGGACAGGAAGAAAGGCTTGGTAACTTACTTCCGAAAATCATCCAGCGAAAGCCCATGGATCATAAAGATCCTGTCTGTGTTACGGACGGGGACGATGCAGGAATGGGCAGCATTTCGTTCTGTCGTACAAGGGGTCATGATAAGTTGGCTGACTGGATAGCAGCTAACGTGTGTGTGTGTGTGTGTGTGTGTGTGTAGTTACCACATCTGAGAAAATATAGAATTACCACATCTGAGTTAAAAACGAACCCTGTATGATAATGCTATGCTGTCTAAGCACAGTCAAATTCTTGGTGTCCGGTGTTGTATAAGTTACTTTTAGGGAAACTATTTCTATAATTTCAAGGACACAGAATAACTGAACTTCTGATATAAGTAACAAAACTGTTTCACCTCAACACGAGCCCTGACTTAAGCTACTCTGCCAGTGGGTCTTGAGTGCCACAGGTCTACCCACTGCGATGCTCTCCTGCCCACATGGCCCTTTCCACAGATTTGAGGCTGGGCATAGGAAAGAGAAACCACAAGCCACTTAAACTCTACTGAAGAAATCTAATAAACAAATCAGAGATTTTATTCTCCTTATTGTTTAAAAAATATTAAGACATGTCAATGAAAATGATATGACATGAAATAATAAAACGTATTTTAAGTTTATCTTTAATAATTAAACAATTGCATACTTCTTGGTCTGGCTAGTTAGATCCAGCACTATCAAGTTCAAGAACTAAAACACAGCCCAGCAAGCTCTAAAAATTTCTGTTATTTGCCAAAACAAAGGTTTCACTACTTGACTGAGAAGTGTGCCTGAGGCTAACCAACTACAACAGACTATGCACAGGGTAACTATGCTTGCAGCTTTTTCTTTTTGTTCTTTTGGAGGAAAGAGTTAGATCTTTACCATAGAGGCTTTCACAATCATTGATGATTAACTCAGGTAAGTCTTTTTCATTCATTCTAAAATCAGTGGATGGAAAGCAAGGAACATCAATAATAATAATAACAACTTGTAGATACATGAATTACTTATTAGCTAAAGGAAAGTTCTGAACTTAACACTCTCTTACTCCTCCAACATGCTACGTGACAATGACTTTGAACATCTCACCTGGATGTCTCTGTAGGAAAGTAACAGATTGATCACAATATCTGCTGTCAAGACTTCAATATTATCTACTCGCTGCCGAATTCTTGCCAACTCAGCTGCCAATTCTTTACCAGTGTACAAATTGCGAGCTTTCCTGATATCATAGAGTATAGATTCCTGGAAATACTGGCTGGTGAGAAAACGCACATTTCAAACAGTTAATACTACCTTCTCATAAGAAAGGATCTCAATAAAAAGCAATACTTTTATAAGGAGATAAATGACATTTGCAGCGTTAGTGGCTTTCAACTCATTAAGATACACAGAATGAATGCTTCATATATTTGGCATTATTAAGAAATTTGTGAGGGCATTTTTCCTTTTAACAACTTTTCTTATTTCAGAAAGAATTAATGGTGGAGATACTCTATACTAATAAATTTTCTAAGAAACTGCAACTTACCCATTAAATGCCCAAAATTTATATTTTATTGCACTGTTTTCAACAGAAACTGTTCCAAATAAATTAGAATGTGTCTCTGCTTTGAACATAATACAACCTCTATTCTGTGACTCAGTATCATCATTTATTAATATAAATGATTGTTCTTAACTAAAACAAAATCATGACAGCCGCAATTTTTGCATAGTTCTTGCCCTTACACTAAAAGTCCTTGGATAGTTATTCTAATGATGTTTCTGTACTTTTGTTGTATAAATTTTAGCTCTACCAATACTGTAAAGCAGTTAATATTCACATCTCTTTTTTGTGGGGAAAGGGGAATAGCTACTACCAATTTGTTATCCTGTGACTGAAGTAAATAAAACAATATGACATATGGACCATAAAGCTTTTGTTTTACCCCCTTACCAGATATGATGCATTCTTCCCTGGTTCTTAGCTGTGTACGAGATACCTAATTACATCTGACAGGACATTCAAGTACTAATAGAGTAACACTTCATTATCCTTAGAAGCAAGGATAGTGAAACTCTGACTTGTTCACTCTGGATATGTCACCGATCAATCACTAGAAAAGGACGTGATGTTTGGTGAAGCAGAGGGTCCGTGAGAACAAGGGAGACCCTCAGTAAGGCAGGCTGACACAGCAGCCACATCAATGCACTCAAACTCACCAACGACCGTGAAGATGGTGCAGAACTAGTTAACATTTTGTTCTATCAAACTCAATGCCAACTAACAACACATTATCACCAAATGGCATCATTAACTTTACCTAGAATTTGCTTGTGCCACCTTCAACAGCTGAATAAAACGATCTACAAGAGGTAAGCAGATGGGTCCAAGAAGCAGCTCAAAGTTGGGCTGCATTAGCTCCGTCAACCCCTTCATGAAGCTGCTGTCACAGCAGTAGACCTTGTTATGTGGAGTTATCATGTAAGGAACAAACGTGTAGTTCCCAGTGCACATCTGTGGAGAGAAGGGGCACCAGAAGATGATGAGCAAGCCTGCAGGCTCCACACTGATGCAATCCTATGTTTATTCCAGTGGCTCCTTTAATTTTTTAATGTGATTTGGGTGCAAATTTACAAAGCAGATTTGTTTTACTCTCAACAGTTCATGTACATTTGGTTTGATGACCCCATTACAATCTCCAACCATAAAACAACTCTCCTCCCGTCCCCTCCCTGTGACTATGCCCTCCCTGTACCCTTCTTATCTATGCATTCCTGTCTGCCCAGCTTTCCCTCTATGCAAATGCTGCTCTTCTGAAGTCTCAAGGTTGGCTGATCTAAGGGGTCCAAATCCCTAGCATGCTGTGGTTGTTGTTATGTGCTGTTGACTCAGACTCGACTCATAGCGACCCCTTCTGGGGTTTCTGAGGTGGTGTCACTACGGAAGTAGATTGCCCAACCTTCCTTCCGAGGAGTGGCTGGTGGGTTTGAACTACCAGCCTTCTGGTTAGCAGTCAAGTGCCTTAGGCACTATGCTACCGGAGCTCCTATCCCTAAGATAGGTGGGTGCATGTCCCTGGGGTAGGTGTTCTGCTTATAGATCTTTCTACTGTTGGGCTGAGAGCTAATCCACAGAAGTGAGTCCAGTTCCAGACCCAAAGGATAACCTGAGGCCACAGTCTCAGGGGTTCTACCAGTCTCTATTTGACCAGTAACTCTGGTCATTTTTGTGTTTTTGAATTTTATTCCACATTTTCCCTCCCACTCTATCCAGGATCTCCCAATTTTGACCACTTTCCAAATGGCTGGCATTGTTAGTTCAGTGGCTCATTTTAAACAGCAATTCTGCATACAAAGAAAAAACAGAAAAGCCTCCTATCTTATTTAGGACCTGTGAAAATAGAAATTTCCAATATCTTTAATTGCTCACTTCAAATAATTAGTACTTATTGATCAATCAAAAAAGCATGGAATAGTTTCTATCAATCAATTAAACATTTATTCACTAGCTGTCTTAGTTACCTAGTGGAGCTCTGGTGGCAGAGTACCTAAGGCATCTGACTGCTAACCAGAAGGCTGGTAGTTCAAACCCACCAGCCACTCCTGGGAAGGAAGGTTAGGCAATCTACTTCCATAGTGATACTGCCTCGGCAACCCAAGGAGGGGTCGCTAGGAGTCCAGTCCGACTCAATGGCAGTGGGTGGGTAGCTACTGTTGTAACAGAAATACCACAAGTAGGTGGCTTTAACAAACAGAAATTTATTTGCTCATAAGTTAGGAGGCCAGAGGTCCAAATTCAGCATGCCAGCTATAGGGGAAAGCTCTCTCTCTCTGTGCTGGCTATGGAGGAATGTCCTTGTTTCTTCTGTGCTTCAGCTCCTAGGCGATCTATATATGCTTGGCTTCTCTCTCTCCCAATCTCTCCTTGCTAGCTTGTGTTTTATCTCTTTGATATCTTAAAAGAGATGGGCTCAAGATACACCTTACACTAGAGATTTCAGAGTTATCCTGATGCTTCAATTACATGCATTGCCCATATTTCATCCAAGTCCATTCCACCTGTAGGATATATTTCATATTTGTCCATTTCCCTCCATCCGCTCTGCCAGCCATTTAGTCCATGCCACAAAAACACCTGGCCTTAGCTATTGTAATTGACTTCTAAATGGTCTCCATACTTCCACTTTAGCCCTCTAGTCTATTCTCTACTCAGTTGTCAAAGTGATCTTTTAACAACCCACATCAGATCACTTCCCTCAGCTGCTTAAAACCCCATCACTTACTCTGGGAAGACAAGTCCCTTCAATTCAGTCTATGAGATCCCTTCAATGCAGTCTATGAGGACCTGAATAATCTGAGTCCTGCATCCCTTTCAATCTCATCCCATGCCCTGACTCATTACAATTTAGGCACACTGACCTTCTATCGGCTCCTAGAATATGTCAAGTGAGGGCATCTAGTGCAAATAAAAACAAAGCTGGGAAGAAGAAAGGGGAAGGCTAGATTGAACACTCCTGAGTAAGCAAGTGTGACTGGAATTTAGGGCTCAAGGAAAGGAAATGAATGCAAAACTACGTATTTTAAACTATATATTCTCGGCTATGGGAAGTCATGGGAGGGTTGAGAGCAGGGAGGGAAAAACAAAGTACAATGTGGTGGTTATGTTTGACACCAACTTGGCTGGGCCTGGTTGAGTGGCTGGGTAGCTGGTGGTAGTTATTCCCCACGATGAGACTGGCAATCAACTCCATGGTGGGATCTGCCAAAAGCAGCTGAGTAGCTCCTTTGGGTATGTGGTCTGCTTCCCGTATATAAGAAGCAGTTTTGGGAATGGTCTCTAGCATATGGTACACTTGGACCCTGCATGTAGCCATGTCGTTGCCTGCCATGTCCTGTCAACCTTAGGACTTACAATGGACTTAAATTAATGGCCTGTCATGTGGTTTGGTAACATAGGGACTGTGCCTTTTTACTTGTCAACCTTGGGTTTGTCAGCCTAAGCAGGCAGCAGTTGTCTGAGTGAAGAAACACCTCTAGCTCCAGTGGGCCGGAAGCAGGAGGCAGAGCTGGACCCCAAAGCTGAGGGGCTTTCACCCAGCCCCTAGAGCCTGGCACTTTGAACTTGGACTTAAGGGCTCCAAACTGTAAGAAAATAAACTCCTTTTTGTTAAGGCCATTCCATTTGTGGTATATTCTTGTCAGAGTGGCACTAGGTAACCAGAACACACAATCAAATCTATGCATTTTAACAGTCTGTGCAGGCAACAAGATGGATTGAAAGACAGGGAAATGCAATTTGAGGAGTAAGACAGGCAGCTACAAAGTATGACCAGCTTGGCAGCAGTGGCAATTGAGATGCATGCATCCAACATTAAAAAGAACCAACAGGGCCTGGTACTGGTTATAGTATTGAGAAAGACAAAGAAAAGGGAGTCAAAGTGACCTGTGGTCTCAAATGGGGCTACCACGAAAAGAATGTTATCATTTACAGGAAGTAAGAATTCAGAAAGCAGAACCCATTGGGTAGGCAGGCTAGAATGTCTACTTTTAGAGATGCTGGGATTGAAGAGAAGTAGAATGCCTAAGTAAAAATGTCCAAAGAAAGTTGAAATGAAAATATTGGAAGAAATATGTGACTGTAATGTAAAAGAGGTTTGTGTCAAAAATACAGACCTGGGAATTATCTGATGTAGCTGGATTTAAGGGAATGGGTGAGACCACTGAAAGAGAAGCAAGAGAGACAGAAAACACCAGAAGGCCGAGATCTAGAATGCGGTCTGGGAAAAACCCTACTGATCACTGTTGAAGGGAATCCCTGGGTGGTGTAAACAGTTCATGTGCCCAGCTACTAACTCAGAAGTTGTCGGTTCCAGTCCACTCACAGGTGCCTTGAAAGAAAGGCCTAGTAATTTACTTCTGAAACATCAGCAATTGCAAACCCTACAGAGCACAGGTCTACTCTGACACAGGTTGAGTTGCCATGAGTCAAAATAGACTTGATGGCAACTGAAAGAGACAGAAAAAAGGGGTGGAGGGCCATCCAAGGAGTCCACGTTATTGGTACCTAGCCATATTGGCATTATGGAGACCAATTTATAACTCCTCTTACTCTTAGAACTCAACTAATAAGAGCAAACGTTTGTTCACCATCCGCACGTGCCAAGGAATGGTCATAAGGTCATAAGTGCACAACCACTCATGGAGGAAGGTGCTATTATCTCTAGTTTACAGGTAAGGAAACAGGTGAGGTGTAGAGAGTTTTAGCTGGTCTGTAATGTGTTTGGGACTCCAGCTCAAGGACTCTTCAGAGGACATGCCATTACCTCTAGTGAATCCCACACCTTCTCAGTGGCCTTCCCAGGCTGACACTCCTGCTGTACAATCCTCTGCTTCAGGTCACTTTCCACTGTAAGCCTGCATCACCCAAGCTCACCACCACAGAGCAAATAAACAAGCAGCAACAAACACCTCACGGCAGACTTGATTATTTATGAACCAATTACACACTGAGGTATTTGTTGTTAGGTCAGGTGGTGAAACAATAACAGGACCTGACTTCCAGTTGAAGTATGAGAAGAATCTCAAGAGTTTGAGATTAGATTTTTAAATCAAGTACATTAAATTGTTACCTTCTCCAAGTACCCCTTCAAAGGATGATAACTGGAAGACTAGTCAGGAAGAAGAAAAACTATTGTGTTCAGCTTCTAAAATGTTACCAACATTCTGAAGCATGTCTGACCCATTTAATCCTTTTTCCCAAGCCACAGTCTCAGCAGAAAGAAAGGTTGCTTTCCAAAGCTTCTAGAGCTTAAATGGCGAGTGGGTTATTAAAGACAGATAGAATCAAATGTTCCTGAGTTACATAAGTACTACAACTCAAAATTACATACGAAAATATTCTGAATCTTCCAAGTCACAAAATTGGAAAAGTCAAAAAACTAGAAAAGTGCTACTCAAGTTTTAGACTATTATTCTGTGCTGCTGATAATGTTGTGTCTTCTCAGAAGCTTTAATACTACTTACAAGACGTGAAACATTCTTATTGAAATTCTGGGCCCTGGGGAATAATGCATGTATGTAAAGCTCAGGGAGAGCACGACTAGCAGATGGGTGTGTGTTGAGCAGTGAGGGGATAAAAAAATGTTAGATTCGTGAATAAAAGAGAGAGAGAGAAACAAGATTCCTGAAACAGCCTCTGAGAAACAAGATTCCTAAAATAGCCTTCTTCAAACCCCATGATATAAGGACTCAGAATTGTTGTTGAAAATATCCAAGCTTTCCTACATTCCTGGCCTCAGTAAACTTTTAGGAGTCTCTTCTCTATGTTCCTGAGGCAACAGACTTTTTTTTTTTTTTTCCCCAATTTCCAATTATTACCAGCTGCTACAAAAAACCAAAAACCAAACTCACTGCCGTCAAGTCGTTTCCAACTCACAGCAATACTACGGAAGTAAATTACCCCATCCTCCTTCTGAGGAGTGGCTGGTGGGTTTGAGCCACCAGCCTTCTGGTTAGCAGTACAATTATTTAGACGCTACGCCACCAGAGCTCACGGCAACGCTATACGTGTGTCAGAGTAGAACTGTGTTATGTAGGGCTTTCAATGGCTGACTTTTTGGAAGTGGATTACCAGGCCTTCCTTCTGAGAAGTCTGTGGGTGGGCTTAAACCTTCAAATTTTTAACAGTTGAGCACGTGAACCATTTGTACCACCCAGGGACTCCAATTATGATGTCAGAACAGAAAGGGAGAGTGAGAAGCTGCAGGAGACACATGGCTACAATTAGACCAAAGCTTAAAAAGAGAGCCCAGTTGAAGTAGGAAGAAAGTGTGAGAGCTGACTGCGGTAGTGGTGTGTTTTTTATAGACACTAACTGCGGAAAGAGGAATTTTTTCAAAATGAAGAATACAAATCATATGAGGACATTCATCTCCCAAGTTGGCCAGCATATGACTTAGAAATGTTATTCATGCAAGCTTTCTATCTGCACAGTGCTTCGGAACCCAGAGTATGAAATAACTAAAATAAAACTCCAAAGCAATTAACAATCACCAAGTGATCAACAGCAGATGCCTCAGGGGCAGCAACTACCTTTCATGAATAATTCTAAAATATTTCAGCCTGCTTCTTGAAAGAAAAGGATGGCATTTCCTTAAATTTCAAAACAAGGTGTGGTCATAAAATAACAAAACTGATTTCTCTGGCTGATGTTGTCATAATAACCCATAGTTCAACATCCAGTTGTATACTCTATGTTCACTATTAAAAAAAATGCTAAGTCTGGGTTTCAATTTGTAAAAGCAACATAAAAGTGAATTAAGTGTGTGTGGAAAATGAATCCAAGTTTCTGAGGAGAAATGCTCACAGCTTTCCAACATATTTAAGTATCTGCTAAAAACACGTAACTTTTTATAAGGACACCTGGCACCTAAAACAAAGCAGTTTTCTCAACTCGGTGGCCACTGTGTTCGTAATGTGCAATATTTGGTCCTTTTATCAATCTACTTCCCCACATGATCAAACCATCACTGGGCACAAACGGCTGTATCCTGTAACTCAGGGCCCAGGTGAATGCTACAGTACGGGTTGCTGTTGAGCCGATTCCGACTCATGGTCAGCCCACGTGTGTCAGAGTAAGGCTGTGCTCCAGACAGCTTTCAGTGACTGATATTTCGGAAGGAAATCACCAGGGCTTTTTTCTGAGGTCCCTCTGAGTGGAGTCAAACATCCAACCTTCCAGTTAGCAGCCGAGCGTGTGAACCATTTGCACAACTGGGGGATGCCCCAGCTAAATGCTACATCCTCCAAAAGACCTTCTGTGATTATCTGATGTAATGCCATCCAGAAGGTAGCACGTCACCCTACATCAGTTTTTTTACTTGTTTATTTGCTGACTTCTTATTTACTGACTCATGGAGCAATTATAAATATGGTTCTTTCCACTTTCAACCTCCAAATCCAACTGAATTGGGCATCCCCAGTGGCATCAAGCCCAAAGCCTGGATACAGGACATGTTCAATCAATATTTGCTTAATGAAATCTGTTACCTGAACTGAAGCATGAAGCAGTAATTGCTCATTTCCTGTTGAGATGGGAAGGATAAGCATTTATAATGGCGACATTATTAATGCTCATGAGTTTCTGTTCTGGGGAAATCTTAAGCAGAAATGTTTTCGTTTTGGACCCAAGGAAAAACTATCAACTGTATTTTGATTATCATCATCTAAAATTGACTTATGTGCAGAACCTCATGCAGTATATTACTTCTACTCTTAGTTGAACATAAATGTTCTTTTAAATTTTTATTGTGATTTGGGTAAAAGTTTGCAGAGCAAATTCATTTTCCATATAGCGGTTCACACACATTTTGTCCCAGGACGTTGACTGCAATTCCCCACAATGTAACAGCTCTCTTCCCACTCCCTCCCCATAGTTACCTCTTCTTTGTGTCCTTCTCTCCCATGCACTCCCCGCCCCACAGCTCTCTCCCTGTGCAAACCCGGCCCTTTTGTCCTCCCATGACTGATGGCTCCTTAGAGGTATTATCTGCTTGATGTAAATGTTCACCTCATATGCCTGTCTATTATTGGCTGGAAGCCACAGAAGTAAACTCAATTCTAGATCTGAAGGGTAGCTAGGGGCCATAGTCTCAAGGGTCTCACCAGGCTCTATCGGACCAGCAAACCTGGTCTTTTTTTTTTTTTTTTTTATGTTTTTGAGTTTTGTTCCACATTGTTCTCCCACTCTATCCAGAATCTCTTGCACCAATCCTCCTCCAAGTGGTTGACAGTGGTTTCCCGGCACCATCTAGTACTTCTGCTCTCATGATCATATAGGCTGAGGATCGCATGGTTGGCCAGTCTCTTGGACTAATTGTTTCCATGGGTCTTTGATTTCCTTCATTCTTCTTTGCTCTGGACGAGGAGAGACCCATCGTTGCATCTAGTTGGCTGCTTGCAAGTTTTTAAGACCCCAATCGCTACTCAACAAAGTAAGATGTAGAATAATGTTTTTGTGTAGTATGTTATGCCAATTGAGCTTGATTTCCCCTGCGACCATGGTCCCAAGCCCACAGGTCCAACTACTCACTCTCTGGGTACATGGCTGTGGCCAAGAAGCCATCATAACCTTGCCCCTTGTCAGCTCTACTATATACCAGGACATTCTTACAGCACATATAAATATACATGTAGAAACATTATCTGTTAACCCTATACATGGTTATTTATGGGCACCCTACCCCCAGCCTAGACATACCTGATCATTCAACCTGTCCACCCATAGATTAATGCTTGCCATCACTGACAACACAATACTATACATGCAGAGGGGTTTGTCTGTACCTCCCATGTACCTCTCTCGGTCTTCCTCTTCCTGGATGCCACTGTATAGATCCCTCATATTTTTTTTTACCTCCTTTTTGAATTGTGTGTGTGTCGGGGGAAGGAATTCCATAGGGTAATCTCAAAGACCAACTAGAATACTTGTGATCTTAATTAATCTCTCTCCCTGTCTCTTTCTCTATGTTTATGTATCTATATATATATGGATACACACAACCATTTATAGACATACACACACACATATATATAAAAGGGGAAGGCCCTCAACAAGATGAACTGACACAATGGCTGCAACAATGGGCTCAGAAATAGCAAGGATTGTGAGGCTGGCGCAGGACCAGACAGTGTTTTATTCTGTTGTACATGGGGTCGCTATGAGTTGGAGCCAATTCAATGGTACCTAACAACAACAACACACACACATATACACTTTCATGTAATTTCACAAAATTGGTATACAGTATGGATTTTTTTTTCCAAATCATGACTATATATAGGAAAAAACCAACTATCAGTGTCATTTCCCATTATTATAAAGAAGACTCACTAAAATGGAATATTTGAATAAAATAACCATATTTATATTAATATGTCAGAAACAGTAAACAAGAATAATAATGATAGGAATAATTTGTAAATTTGAAAAACACAGTACAGGTTAGTTGATGGAAAACGAGAGATAAAAAAAATTCTGAAAAGTTTAAGGAAAGTACTCACAGTATTCTTTTGGCAAATGATATCCTGAAAACAAAGAAAAAAGAAATAAAGTGAAAGTTAATACAAAACCAATCCTTTAAATAACCTTTAACAAAGTATCCTATGTGGGAACATCATTAACAATTTTATTAGCAATTAGAATTTTATTAGCAATTAGAAATTCTAGAGAGTGTAGAACAAGTTCTACAACTAAGAAGTTTACAAGCTCACAGGTAAATGCATAAGTATTGTCTGTGGTTTAAGGAAAAGAACATAAACATTTAAAATCAAAACACTGGATAACCTAAAAATCATTTCTGTGCTATCTTTATGATGCAGAATTACCTGATCAGCCACAATGTCTTTGGGAAAAGGGTAAAACAAGTTTTCCTTCTCTAAGCATAACCTCTCCTTGGAAGGCAGGTTGGGCAATCCTACTTCCATAGTGATACTGCCTCGGAAACCCAAGGAGGGGTCGCTATGAGTCAGGGCTGACTCAACGGCACATAACAACAACAACAACAACAAGCATAACCTCATTCACACCCTAGAAGGGGAATAAGCAGCCTGCTATATTCCACACAGCTGGAAATGAAGAGTAGTGATCACTTACCAGTGGGTAAATCTACGCATAGATCATACGACCATCTGGCAATAAATAGTCAAAAGTGCAATTTATGTAGTAGTAGAATAAGACAAAGGAGATCTGGTGGTATAGTGGTTCAGGCACTTGGCTGCTAACCAAAAGGTCAGTAGTGTGAACCCACCAACTGCTCCATGAAAGAAAGATGAGGCACTCTGCTCCTGTAAAGATTTACAGCCTCAGAAACCCAGTGAGGGTTACTATGAGGTAGAATCAACTTGATAGCAATGAGTTTGGGTTTCTTTGGAGAATGAGATAAAGGAGTTCTGGTGAGGCTGTGGTTAAAGCATTGGGCTGTGAACTAAAAGGTTGGTGGGTCAGAAAGATGAGGCTGGCTGCTTCCGTAAAGATTTACAGCCTTGTAAACCCTTCAGGGCAGTTCTACTCTGTCCTGTAGGGTTGCTGTGGGTTGGAATCAACTTGATGGCAATGTGTTTTGTGTTTTGGTTTTAGAATGAGGTAAATACAGGGCTGTGAGGCCAATGTTCCTATCTTCTAAGTTGTGAGGAATAAATGAGACCATGTAGATAATGTAGTCATATAACACCTGGCATGCTAAAAAAAAAAAACCCAAAACACAGTTGCCTTTGAGTTAGCTCTAGCACATGGTGGTCTTGTGGTTGGTGTTCAAGTAGAACTGTGCTCCATAGTACCTTAACTGTTTACACCACTCAAGGACTCTACCACACAGAAAGAGGTAGCCAATGTTATTATCATTCCTAGAAGTTACAATGAAAAGAGACCTGGGAGACAAGCTAGAAAAGCTAACTATAAGCACCTCGGTAAGGCTGAGAATTGTGATTTAGAAAAGAGAAATCAGGTCAGCATACCAGAAAAGGTGGCATACATGTTGTCATGGAAACAGAAAACAGAAGGCATTTGTGGAGTCTCAAGAGTGGGTCCATCTGGCTAAGGAGACAGCCAGATCTGCTAAGGAAAGAGAGTAATGAAGCAAGGCTCAGCTGACTGGAGTCCTCCTGCAGCCCAGGCCTGGAACCCTACATTAACTGATGGAGCAAAGGAAAACCAGTGAGGCCTTGGACTTAGACCAGTAATGTAAGGATTGTGAACATTAAATGATGACAGATGAGCAAAAAAAACTTTATAGAAGAAAGAACTGTGCTGGGTAATTTTGGAAGCCATACAAAATACTTAGAGTTATACAATACTAAAACCACCCCCCAAAATAAACCTCACTGCCATGGAGTCAATCTCGACTCACAGTGACCCTTTCTTGGTTTTTTGAGGTGGTGTCTCTAAGGAAGTAGACTGCCCAATCTTCCTTCTGAAGAGTGGCTACTGGATCTGAATCACCAGCCTTCTAGTTAGCAGTCAAATGCGTTAGGCACTACACCACCAAAGCTCCCAAATAGAACAATACCCATCAAGACCTGCTAATCTTGTTGATAAAAGGACATATACATATTTTAAAAGAAACACTAGCAGGCCATATGCACATGCATGTATGCATACACATGGTTAAAGTAAAAAAAGAGGTATTGACAGTAGGGGCTATGGTTTCACGGAGAAAGAAAATGTTACTATAGATTGGGGATAGCTGGGAAGATTGGTAGGGAAGGTAGAACTCAAGAAGAGCTGTAGGCAACAGACACAACTTCCAAAGGTAAAGCAGGAGTTGAGGATCCAGGCTGGAACACTACAAAAAACAAAGGCACTTTCAGGAACAGTAAACATCATCATTTGGGAATAAAGAAAGCAGGTCATTTGGGGAAGTATAGAAAAGAGGATTGAAGAAGTATTTAATTTTTTCTCAACTCATTGAACAAATGTTCCATTATTAATCAGAACATGGAATGTATGAAGTCTGAATCTAGGAAAACTGGAAGTTGCCAAAAGATGAAATAGAACATATAATGATTGATACCCTAGGCATTTATGCACTGAAATTGACTGGTTTTGGCCATTTTTAATCACACCCATATGATCCAATATTCTGGGAATGACAAATTGAAGAGGAATGGCATGGTGTTCACCATCACAAAGAATATTTCAAGATCTATCCATAAGGGAGGCCAGTTAATACTACTATTATTCTAATTTACACACCAACCACCAAAGCCAAAGATTAGGAAATTGAAGATTTTTACCAATTTCTGCAGTCTGAAATTGACCAAACATGTAGTCAAGATGTATTGATTATTATTGGTCACTAGATTGTGAAAGTTAGAAACAAGGAAAAATTACCAATAGTTAGAAAATACGGCTTTGGTGACAGAAATTATGCCAGAGATTGCAAGACAGAATTTTGCAAGAACAACATCATTTCTAACTTTCACATGAAAGAAAAGAAGAAAAATTGAACCCTCGAGATTCCATGCTGAAAGATTCCATGCTCAATATGGGCAAAATATTGAATGATGCAGGAAACATGAAGAGGAGATAGAAGGAATACACAGAGTCACTGTACCAAAAAGAACTGGTAGATGTTCATCTATTTCAGGAGGTGGCATATGATCAAGAACCAATGGTATTGACGGAAGAAGTCTAAGTTGCACCAAAGGAATTGGCGAAAAAGAAGACTCCAGGAATAGACTGAATACCCAGTGATATGTTTCAAAGAACAGAAGCTGAGATGAAGGTACTTACTTGTCTATGCCAAGAAATTTGGAAGACAGTTCCCTGGCCAAATGACTGGAAGAGATCCATATCTGTACCCATTCCAAAGAAAGGTAATCCCACAGAATGTGGAAATTATCAAACAATACCATTAACATCACACACAAGTAAAATCTTACTGAAGATAATTCAAAAACAGTTGCAGCAGTATATTGACAGGGAACTTCCAGAAATGCAAGCTGGATTCAGAAGAGGACGTGGAATGAGGGATATCACTGCTGATGTCAAATGGATCTTGGCTGAAAGCAAAGAATACCAGAAAGATGTTTACTTGTGCTTTACTGACTATGCAAAAACACTTGACTATGTGGATCATAACAAATTATGGATTACATTAAGAAGAACGGGAATTCTGGAACACTTAAATGTGCTCATGATGAACCTGTACACAGGCCAGGAGACTGTTATTCAAACAGAACAAGCGGATAATGTATGGCTTAAAATCAGGAATAGAGAGCATCAGGGTTGTATCCTTTCACCATACTCATTCAATCTGTATGCTGAGCAAATAATCGGAGAAGCTGGACTATATGAAGATGAAAACAGCATCAGGATTGGAGGAAGACTCATTAACAACCTGCAATATGTAGACTGTACAACCATGCTTACTGAAAGTGAAGATGACTTGAAGCACTTTCCGATGAAGATTAAAGACCATAGTCTGCAGTATAGATTACACCTCAACATTAAAAAAAAAAAAAAAAATCCTCACAACTGGACCAATAAACAGCATCATGATAAAAGGAGAAAAGATTGAAGTTGTCAAAGATTTCCTATTACTTGCTTCCACAATCACCATCAATGGAAGCAGCAGTCATGAAATCAGAAGACGTATTGCACTGGGCAAATCTGCTGCAAAAGACCTCTTTAAAGTGCTGCAGAGCAAACCTGTCTCTTTGAAGTCTAAGGTGCGCCTAACCCAAACCATGGTGTTTTCAATCACCTCATATGCATGTGAGAGCTGGAGAATGAAAAAGGAAGACCAAAGAAGAGCTGATGCTTTCGAATCGTGCTGTTGGCAAAGAATACTGAAAGTACCATGGGCTGCCAGAAGGAAGAACAAAGCTGTCCTGGAAGAAGTGCAGCCAGAATGCTCCTTGGAAACGAGAATGGCCAGACTTCCTCTCACCTACTTTGGTCATGATGTGAGAAGGAACCATTCCCTGGAGAAGGATAACATGCTTGGTAAAGTGGAGGGTCAGTGGAAAAGGGGAAGCCCCTCAATGAGATGGACGGACACAGTGGCTGCAATGAAGGCTTGTGAGGCGGGCACAGGACCAGGCAGTGTTTCATTCTGTTGTACACAGGGTCACTATGAGTCGGAGCCGACTTGACAGCACCTACCACCACCACCACCACCACCACCACAAACTCACTGAAAGAAGAAAAGGAAGGAACTGTTTCATTTAAGGCCACAGAACTATTATATTTCACGACACATCAGGGAAACTTGTCATATAAAGTGCCACTAAATGAAAAATGGAGTCTGGTAGAACAGAGTTGATGTGCTTGGCTGCCCAAAAGGTTGGTGGTTCAATTCCACCAACTGTTCTTTGGGAGAAAGATGTGGCAATCTGCTTCAATAAAGATTTACAGCCTTAGAAACTTTATGGGGGTAGTCGTACTCTGCCCTACAGGGTTCATAGGAGTTAGAATCTACTTGAATATAGTGGAGTTTATGAGATCAACATAAACTGAAGTGCATTACTTCACTACAGCTTCACAACTGTCTGAAGTCTTTAGGGGACTTTTGGTCAATACATCG